CTTTCTGAGGGGAGAGAGAGAACGTCTTTCCATGTCCTAACAAATTAGCCAGGACCCCTCCTCCCAGCCCTTGGTTCAGTCTGCTTCCCCACTGCTAAGGGCTGGCACCAAACATTTTCTCTTGTGCCCAAACCTCTCTTCTCACTTGACTATACACATCTTGGTGACCTCTCATGGGCTAACCAGACACCAGTTGCTCAAATGACCCCTTACTATATTTTGTTCTACTTAAACAGGCTTCTTTGCACGCTGGTTTAGAAGCAATAAAGCTCCATAAACAAAGTCAAAAGATACATGAAAAGGTCATTGCAACATATGACAGACAAAGTCACACATAAATGGATAAGAAATGGATATGTAACTCAATTTTAAAAGTGGGCATCAAATACACTGATAGAAAGACAGATAGATGTATAAACATGTATAAAGCAAATATAGTTCATTGTTAATAGTAAAATCTGGGTGGTGAGGATGTGAATGTTCACCATAACATTTCTCAACTCTGCTCTATGTTTCAAATTTTTCATAAGAAAGTGGGGAAGGGTGGGGCAATTGGATGAAGGCAGTCAAAATGTACAAACTTCCAATTATAAGATAAATAAGTACTTAGGCTGTAATGTACAGCACGATGACTGTAGTTAACACTGCCGTATAGTATGTCTGAAAGTTGATAGGAGAGTAGATCCTTAGAGTTCTCATCACAAGGAAAAAAACATTTTTTTCTTTTTTTGTATCTATATGAAATGATGGATGCTAATTAAACTTATTGTGATAATCATTTCACAATATTTGAAAGTCAAGTCATTATGATGTATAGTTATAAACTACACAAACTTACACAGGGCTGTATGTCAATTATATCTCAATAACGCTGGAAAAGATACTATATATACTTTTCCCCACCTTGGTTTTTTTTCACTTAAGAGTATATTTTGATGATCACTTCATAGTAGCGTATAGAGGTAATCCCCGTTCTTTTTTATAGCTGTTTGAGTTGTGATAGGAAGTTTAACTTATAATTTGTGTAAAACAAACAAACAAACAAGAACACCGGGGAGGAGGGAGAGTGGCTCAGAGAACATCATGAGACCAGAACCACACGAGGAGGAATGTAACGTCTGAGCTTCCTCTGAAGAAGATACTGTGAAAGAAATCGGGCCTGGCAACGTGATGCCTTGGCTGAGCTGTTGGTGTCCCACGGGTGATGTTATTTCAGATTGAATAACCCAGACTTTGGTAAAAATGCTGCAGACACTGGATTGATCTCTCTGGGCAGGAAACATAAAACCTATAGATGTGGGAAGTATAGAATTTCTCTGGCAGGAAACGGATATTTATCCTGTCAAACATATTGGAGCAGGAGATGAATGGATATTTTTTGGAGGGAAGAATTTCCTTCTTCCTCTGGCACTGAGTTAGCTGGGACCTGGACTCTGAGACAAAGCACGCTGGAGATTTTCTTTGTTGGGAACTGAGCTGACGTTTACCAGGTACAGGCAACATAGGCAGTGGCTGAGCTGGGGCTGAACACAGAGGGGCTGACTCTCAGGCTAGTGCTCCCTCCGTTTATCTAAGTCAAAAGCGTATGTCTCCCCACCAAATGAGATGGGGGAACAAGACTTCCTCTGCAAATGCATGATTCATGCAAATTTCAATGGATTTACATTAAGTCTTTTGAGTTGAAATTCTCAAGGTCTATCTCCTAGCCAAACTATTAATTCTTTATGGTACTTTTCTAACTGTTGCAACTATTTGTTCTCATTATTCATTAGCAAAGCCCTAGAGTCTCCTGGAAGAATTATTCACATCTCATGCATAACCACAAAAATGTATTATGATCAGAGACAAGGGTCTTAGCCCCACAAAGAATGAGGTGTTGGCCTGCAAGGAAAACCCCTGTCTCCTCCCTATGTAAATGAGGATCGTCAGAATTCATTTTTTTAATGTGCTGATATTACACATCATTAGAATCTGCATATATAAATATCTTTCCATTATCCAGATCAACTGGCAGCAAGGCTTCAAGGAAATCTTAATGATATTGGACATTTCGTTTTTCCTGGTGTACAAGGTAATACCCTTTCAATTGTAAATTATACTATCTTATAAAAGACATGGTAAACTGGAAAGATCGAGAGTTAAAGAGTTTAGTTTAATTTATTGGCAATAACATTTTAATTCACTTTTATAGTCATGGCATATGTTTTTATCTGATTCTTCAAATATTGTCTTATATACTCACATGTATATTTGTTTTAAATACAGTACTCTGATGTTTGTTCTGAGTTATATTAGGGTTTTAAAATAGTTAATGACCAAAACCAAATTATAGAAAAAGAACCATGACAAAAATTCTACATAAATGGAATTTTCCCTTCTTAAATATTGGTACCAGCGCTAACATCTGTTGCCAATCTTCTTTTGTTTTTTCTATTTCTTCTTCTCCCCAAAGCCCCCCAGTACATAGTTGTATATTCTACTTGTAGGTCCTCCTGGCTCTGCTACGTGGGATGCCACCCAAGCATGGCTTGATGAGTGGTACTAGGTCTGTGCCCAGGATCCAAACTGGCAAAACCCTGGGTGGCCGAAACAGAACATGCGAACTTAACCACTCGGCCACTCGGCCGGCCCCCACAAATGGAATCTTTAAAGTTGTTCTGTAAATGTACATTCCTTCTTCCCTCTTCCATACTTTTGGTAATGTATGTAGGAAAAATAAGGGGAGTATCAATAATTATGAATAGAACATGAAGGATGTAAATTTTTCTCGTAGGCAATAATATTTACATAAACTTGATCATCATATTGTCCTCTTGAAGTCTCTCTTCCCATTTCAAATATTGTTTAACCTTGAAGATTAATTTTTTAAGTCAGCTGTTGGCAGTTGGGTTCAGGATATGTTCTCTTAGGGCATTGTGCAGATCTAAGATTATTGGATATGTGTGGTTATTTTCCGTCTTGATTTGTTTTAAAATTACATTTATAGCCCTCTTTGTAAAGAGTATTTCAAGTGACAGAATGAATTTTTATAATAAACATTTACCTTGAATGACACTTCTTACTTACAAAAATGAATTAATTAATATACTTGAAAATTATAATATTCTGCTTATGGAGAAATATAGCAAGTATATTTATCTTTAGAATGCCTCATCTTTCTTTTCTTCCCTCAAAATGACCAAAAAGTCATTTTATATATCATTTAAAAGGTATATTATTAACACCAGAATTTTCTTGTTTTCGTGAAAAATGAAAATGATCAAAATAAAAGTAATGATACAACAGAAAACAGAAGACCCTCATACCTATGGAAATTTACTAATACATCAAATAAATAATCACATCCTAATATAGGGGTGTACACAGGACAAATACCTACGTCTAAGTATATATTACACTAATGATGTCTACCTATCAGAATCATTATGAAAATCAAATGAAATAATAAATACTTTAAAATATGTGTTTTTTATAAGCAGTTGATAGAATAGACCGATTTTCTGTTAACCTTATTAGGAAAATATTCCTAATAAGGATTAAACGTTTTATACTGTACTTGAATGCACGTGTGGATGTGTAAGTGTGTGTGTGTGTGTGTGTATAATATAGATCCTGAATTAGGGGCATATGCCATTATTGAGGCATTTGAATCATAATCTCTGTTCCAATTGTTTAACATCCTCTGGAATCTGCAATCTATACATCCTTTGGTTCCCAATGGCATGATCTTCAGTCACGCTTAATAACATGCTGAAGTCAGCATCACGCTCCGTAAGCAGGGATAGGCTCCATATTTTCTAAGTTAACAAGTAATACTCTTGTTTTACTTGCAGACAGAGTCAAAAGATGAAAGTGGTGTTTCTGATCACTTTCCTTTTGGTCACAGCTCACTGCGCACCAGTAAGTAAACTCTTAATATTTATTTCTGCAAATGCGCCTTGGTTCATGCATTCTGAACTTTTAGTTATGCTGTACTCAAGCCTCAAAAAAAAAAAAAAAAAAAATTCTATCATTGGAATCAAAGCCACAATCTCCATTTTAAGTTTCTTTGGAGCTAAAAGCACGTCTTTCAACTGGTTTTAAAAGACTCTGTTAGAAAAGCAAGAGATTTGAATCAAGCACAGTGGGGAAGCTCTCCTGGCCTCAGAGCAAAGCAGTGGGTCTCATTCTTGGCTGCACTTTGGAATTGCTTGAGAAACTTTAAAAAGTCCTGATGTCGGGGTCCTACCCCCAAAACTCTGACTTAATTGGCCTGAGCTGTGACCCAGTCATCAGGATTTTTATAAGCTCCCCAGGTGATTATTCCACTGGTCAGCCTAGGTTGAGAACCACTGCCTGAGGGAGTGGAACTCGGAGCTGGGATTGCTCTGGAGAAGCCCTGGAGAAGGCAGCCAGTAACCCAGTGGTATTGGGTTAAGCAAGAGTACAGCTCACTGGGGTCAGCCGGTGGCTCAATGGTTAAGTTCACACATTCCGCTTCAGCAGCCTGGGGTTTGCTGGCTCTGATCCCGAGTGTGGACCTATGCGCACTGCTTGTCAAGCCATGCTGTGTCAGGCGTCCCACATATAAAATAGAGGAAGATGGGCACAGATGTTAGCTCAGGGCTAATCTCCCTCAGCAAAAAGAGGAGGATTGGCAGCAGGTGTTAGCTCAGGGCTAATCTTCCTCAAAAAAAAAAAAAAGTACTGCTCAAGTTGTTATTGTGAACAAAGAAGAGAGTGAGTAGGCTGAGGGAATCACTGAGATAACATTTCTGGTATTAAAAAGGATTTGTGACTGATGTTAACATATGCAAGATTAATTCATTTATTCTATAAAAAATTTTTTCTTGAATATCTACTAGAAATGGGCAACCATGCTAGGTGCTAAGATTACATAGATGACAAAACACAGTCCTGCCTTCAAGGAACTCAGAGTCTAAATTTCCTATTCATTACTATTTTTATCATTACTATTAATTTGCTCAGTCTCCATACTCTTTGCCTCTCAATTTTTACAGGTCCAAGAATTTCATCCTGCAATTCTCTATCATCAGTTCTTGCACTGGAAGGTAATTGCTCTCTCTCTTTCTCTCTCTTTCTTCAAACTTCAGTTAGGGATGTTCTCTGTCTCCCATAAAGTGACACAAAATGATTTAGGGAGAAAATATTTGACATTTTCAAGAAGTAATATTTTCAGGAACATAAAGTACGATGATGAGGTTTTCTCCAAGGTAAAAACTAAAAATCGAAGGTGGAACACATAGGAAATAGCTTGATTGGTGTAGCTAGGAATTCTGTAGGCTGTCCCTGCCGCCGGGAGAATCATCTCCAGAGAAACAGACCCTCCCAGGCCTCTGAAAGTTGTCCACGCAAGTCCCGAGTCACCCCTTCTCTGGGTGAACAGCACCCTTCTCAGTATACAACTTGTTTAAATATTTCTCTTTTGCACATAAGAGGATAACATAAACTGTGAAATTTCTTTTACAAGTTTAGCATCATTTGATTTAAATAGAAGTTAATTAACTAGAACCCAGAAATCACTAGAATATTTTGTTTTTGCAACCTAATGTCTCTACTTTTCAGAAGGTCCATCAAAGAATGATCCCATATAGACTATTACTGCATCACACTGTAAACTTGTTAAATACATCATTATAACATTCAAAATGCCTCATAAAAAGTTACATGTATTAATTCCTTTTAGAGGACTTTATTTCAACTGACAAATTCCCACTTTTTTTTTTTTGCTAGGCAATCTCAGAGATAAATTTATACTTATTTTCAATAATTATCTTTAGCATAGATTTTGATCTATAGATTGTGGCCTCTTGGAATATTGCTTCCTGCTTTGCATCTTCTCGAAGATGCTTCAAGTATCTTTGAAAGCTCAGGTTTCTGCTTTCAAAGAGACCAGAGAGAACTGCCAAAGCACGCAGCTCTCTGCTCCCCTCCTTGGCTCTTGACTTCTCTTTTCTCTTTCCTTTTGTAGTCTGAATAGAAAGGCAGCGATAAACCACTGTGTTTCTAGGGCTTCTGGTTGTTTTTCACTAGAGTTAATATCTAGGAAATTTTTGTACTGTTACTCATCTCAGCTAACTCCTAACTCCTTTCTCTTCTATGTCATTGCTCAGTTTACATTACAACAAGCTTCTTTACTAATCACAGACTTTAAAGCAATTTTTGCAATTTTTTCCTTAGAAATGTCTTCTTTTCTTCAGAACATTTGAAAATATATTTGAACTGAAGCAGTTTCCTAATAATTAAACGTCATCTAACTGAGTTTTGTTTTTCCTTACAGCAACTTCAGAGGTTATATAAACTCTTGAATAACTGTGTAAGTTTTCGTTCTTGATTTTCCTGTCATTATCAAGACTTGGCAGAGGAGTGAATGTTCAGGAAAGGAATGGGAGGGACACGGGAAGTGTGAAATTGTGTTTGAGAGTTTTGTTGCCAGAATACCAGCTACTTTTCCCATTTACATCTTACTTTTAATAAAACTTTAAATCATTATTTATGAATTAAGAATGTCCCACATACAAATACAATTGCTAATTAATGGAAGAACTAAAACTTGTGAATCTGTCTGAAAAGTATTACAATTTCTTGAAGACAATTATTAACTCCTAGGCCTCTTAGACTTCCGTTAACGTGTTTCCTACTAAAAATAGCTGAGAAAGAAATTATTTAAGAAAGAATGCATTCATTTAAAATTCACGTAACTTTAACCTAAAAAATATCTCCAAAACTATTTTGTTTTTAAAGATTGGCACCTGAGCTAGCAGCTGTTGCCAGTCTTCTTTTTTTTTTTCTGCTTTTTCTCCCCCAAATCCCCAGTACATAGTTGTATATTTTAGTTGTGGGTCTTTCTATTTGTGGCATATGGGACACCACCTCAACGTGGCCTCACGAGAGGTGCCATGTCTGTGCCCAGGATCTGAACCAGCAAACCCCTGGGCCGTTGAAGTGGAGTGTGCAAACTTAACCACTCGGCCACGGGGCCAATCACCCAAAACTATTTTTTTTAATTTCTGTTTTTCAGAAATCTTATTATAATGTGTACAGATCTTCCTCAACTTATGATGGGGTTATGCCTTGATAACCCCATCGTAAGTTGAAAATATCGTAAGTTGAAAATGCATTTAATACACCTAACCTAAGGAACATCATAGCTTAGCCTAACCTACATTAAATGTGCTCAGAACATTTGTTAGCCTACAGTTTGGCAAAATGATCTAACACAAAGCCCATCTTATAATAAAGTATTAACTATCTCATGTAATTTAACGAATATTGTACTGAAAGTGAAAAACAGAATGGTTTAATGGGTGTAGAATGGTTGTAAGTGTGTCAGTCGTTTACCCTGCGATTGTGCGGCTGACTAGGAGCTGCAGCTCGCTGTTGCTGCCCAGCATCATGAGAGAGCATCCCAAGGCATATCAGTAGCAAGGGAAAGGATCAAAATTAAAAATTCAAAGTATGGTTTCTACTGAATATGTACAGATTTCACAACATTATAAAGTTGAAAAACTGTAAGTCGAACCATCCTAAGTCAGGGACCATCTGTAGTTGTTTGTATATATCTTGCTTGGGATTTGTTGTGCTTCTTAAATCTTTCATCTTTGTACTCTTCTTAAGCCCCAAACACACATTCAACCTTTGCATTGATTCCCATATGCCTCTTATGCTCTTTTCTATATTTTCGATCCTTTTGTTTTGCTCTGCTTCAGTCTGAATATTTTTTTCTGATCCATCTTCTGTTCACTAATTCTGTCTTCAGTTGTATTTAATCTGAAGTTAAACCAATCTGTTGAACTCTTAATTTTAGTTTTTCAGTTCTAAAACGTCCGTTTGATGCCAAAGTCACCATCCTATCTTTTAATTTGTTGTGCATTTTAAGTACAGTTATTTTAAAGTCAGTGTCTGGTAACTCCACTCTTTGAATCTCCTGAGGCTCTCCTTTGATTATTTACCTTTCTCTTTTCACTTTCAGTTTAGTCTTGTTACTCCCCGCCCCCCCCGGGCCCCCCCCCCCCCCCCGGCACTGGATCCTTTATTTAACCTGGTTATATTCAACTGAGTGGTGAACATTGTTTTCGAAAATTGTAGAGACAACTTGAGGTTCTGGATGAAGTTGTCTTCCTCCCGAGAGGATTTCCTTTTGTTTCTCTTGGGTGTGTAGGCAATGGGCACAACATTCACAGACCGCCTTCCTCCAATGAGAGACTGAGATGATTAGAACAAATCCCTGGTTCACTCTCAGCCCCAGGGTGAGGTCCTTGGGGTTCCAACCAACAGCTTGGTTACTGGCCAGGTTCCCTTCTCTGGCAGCTCCTCAATTTCAACTTTGATCCCCCAGCCACGTGAGTTTGTCAAAAGCTCTGCTCACTACTCAGCCTTTCAGCCACCACTTTTGGAATTGCCAATTTCCTTGAGAAGAATAGAGTCAAATGCCTCCCTGGGCTTCTTGCCTCATCACAATCTTGAGTCCATAAGACCTCACTTCCTTAGAACTCTGCTACCTTCGGAACTATGCATAAAAATTTTTTTTTGGTCCAACTCTTCTACTTGTTCTCCCCAGGAGGATTGGCTGGAACAGCAAGGCTGGAAAGAGAATACTTGATTTTCATTTTAAAGATTGGATAAAAACATTTGAAATTTCTTTGATTAACTGTCATACATATACAGAGAAGTAGAGGACGTTGGTAATAAGTTAATGAAACTAAAAATAGTATGGTATTGGTTGAAAATTCTTCCCTCCTTAACTACATAAACTTAAAAATATTTTTACTATGCAGGTAATAGCTATGTAATATTTATATGTTGAGTATTTATAAATGCATTTTTGTCTTGATTTTTGTTTTATCAGAGGAAACCACCAATGAACAGTAGAACTACCATGGTCCCCACGCCACCATTTCCACCAATAACAGAAATTGCTCCTCCTTTGACTTCTAACCCACCAGTCCCTCCTACCCCTGACCGGCGGGGAGATTCACTATTCACGAAGTTCTGAAGGAACTCATTAGCCCAATGTAGCTTCTCCCTCCAGGAATTCTTTAGTACCACAGCTGAAGATCAAAGACATTATCTGGCTGCTCCCTGTACCACAGTGTGCCCTTTTCAATATCCTGGATAAAATGACAATGATTCATTAAAAATGTTTATATCACTATATTATGCCCAAGTGGAATATCATTTCCCATCATTACCAGCATTGTAAAAGAAGGATGAGGAAAATGATCAAAGGAATCTAGGAAATAGGATCTTTTTTCTCTGGCAAGTCATATGTTTAGCTAAGAATCAGAGGTTCTAAAACAAAGGAAGAAAGGAAAAGCAATTTGGGGAGGAGCACACAGCCTGCAGTTTCTGCCAAACTTGGGGAAGTGGTAGGTGACAGAAGGGTTCTGTCCCCAGCCTACATCCAAGCCCTTGAAGAGACTCCTGGGATGTTTCCAGCAGTAGGAGAGGGTGTTCTGGCCATTTTAATTCAGAAAGAAATTGATGAAGCCATGAGGTAATGCACTCAAAGTTTTCTTTTGCCTTATTTGGGAGGCAACGTTCTAAGTTTCTCCCTAATCTGTCTAGACAGATGTACAAAGCAAAAAGAACAAGAAAGATTTTACAGATGTTATCCATTCTCCATCTCTACAAATATGTAGTCCAGCTTTCTCTTTCGGGAAACAGAACAGTAACCTCTGCACCTCAGTTAAGAACAATGATCACTGTCTGTTAGTCCCTTCTGTTCCTCAGTGTGGAAAAGTCACTACATGGCATTCACAGGGGTCTTTGGTCTCATTTGAGAAGTTTCCTACAGAGCCCTTCTTACAACTGGCTGCAACATGGTCACACGTAGAAATCAAAAGGAATAGAGTTTGTGTAGGAGAGAACATGCATCATTTCATAGAAACCAAAGGCTCAGGCTTGGAAAGGACATTAAAGTCTTCAGAATCAACATCCCCTGGGAGCTGGTTAGAAGAGCACCAGAGATCAAGCTCCACTCCAGGTGAACTGAAGCGGTATCTGCATTTAAACAAGATGCCTCGTGCTCCTCCACAACGTCACCAACTTGGAGATATCTGCCAGAATACCTAGCAGCAGAGAGCTCACTGCAGGCAGGACGGCTCACTCCAGAATCCTTCGCTGGGTAGCTTTGGTCTTGGAAAAGTGATTCTCTGCATGGAGTTAAAATTTGGTCCTAGCTCAACTCTGGGGTTGCATTGAATAAATCTAGTCTGTCTTCTCAATGACAACCCTTCAAATAAATAAAGATAGCTCTCACAGTCCTGACTTTTTCCAAGCAAAAATTCCCCAGTCTTCCAACCACTCTCTTTATGACATGGTTAGATTTGTCTCAATAGCCAAAAATCTTCTCCAAATACTCTCTAGCTTTTACATTGTCCCCGCCCCCAGTGCTGGTTTTCAGAACTGCACATAATAACCCAGATGTGATCTGGCAAATGCAAAAATGGGGTGATTGCCTCCTACACCAGATCCTATTGTCTATTAATATATCTATTAATAGGATCTAGAACTGTAACTGTCTTTCTGGATAACCACTAAGTCCTTTTCATGTGTTTCTGAAAACACGTTTGATGTCTTCTGTACTTTACCTTGGACTGACCTCCCATTTACCTCTTTATCACTTATCTGATTTGAATCAACTCAGCATTCTCACACACACATATTTTTATCTAGATTCCATTATTCAATATGTTTGAGTTCAGTAGTCCAACATATGGTCTTAACTTTCTCTGTTCATTCATCTACCCATGCAACAAACAATTTTTAAGCATCTCCTCAGTTCTGAACTCAGGAGGAAGAGAAGAGAACAAGACAGCCTGGGTCTCCGTCCTCGTGGGATTCTCATGCTTTGAAGCAGTATTTGCTACACCTGGGAGAGTACTGTAACAATACTAAAATATATTTGAATGTATCCTACATACCTTAAAGGGCTATGAATTACAGTTTCAAGTCCAAAGCACTGAGAACAAATAGAGCACTTGGTAAAACAAGTATTTACGTGGCTGATAAAGGATACAGGTAGATTTGTCTTGACAGCTGGGGTCTGCAGGGAAATGCCTACCCAGAACTTCCCAGCCCTGGTTCTGCTTTAGAATCATCTGGAAATGTTTTTAAAACACACCAAAGGCTCATCCCCGACCAACTGAATGGAAATTTCTGGTTGTGGAAGGAACCAGAGCATCAGCATGTTAAAAATGCCTGGGGTGGTTCTAACGTGCAGTCAGGTCTGGGAACGGCCGCTCTACAGGGATTCTTGGAAGTACAGCTCTGTGCCTCTTCAGACAGGCAGGGCTGGCTCAGCCAGCAGACCCTGATGAGCACAGCTGGTGAAGTGGTTCTCCAGCTGAGGCAGGTGGGGTAGGGAGTCAGGGGAACAGCCACTGTGGGACTTCCTGACTGTTAGATCCTGCTGCAGCTTGCCGGTGTGTTAGAATGGGCTGGAAAGTCTGCTAGAGCTAGGCTGCATACAGGTTTCCCCAGCTTTCTCTGCTGGCAATCAAAATACCTCTCAGACACATTTGTGAGAGATACAAGTTTGCTTTCTAGAAAGCTCTGTTGGATGAACCTCCCTTGCAGGATGTCTGTGTACACTTTCTGATACATCTCTATGTGCCCGGCAAACATAACGTTGAAGCTTTCTGTTCTCCTGAGTTTGCTGGTAGCAGCGAGGGAAATGAGAAGTCAGTGTTGTTTACCTCCTGAAGCAGAAGAATATTTACAGTTAACACCATCCAGATTTTAAATCTCTGAACAACAAATCAATGTCCGAGACAAAGGTCAACACAAAAGAACACTTAATACAGCTTAGGTTCTTTAGTCAGAATTTGATGTCTGCCTGATGTTTTTCTCTGACAACAGTTGTAAGTTTTTAAACAGTTGATTGAAAAAAATAAAATGGACACACACAACATTTCAAATGTTGCTTGTCTCCAGGATTTGGTTCTGTTTGTTCGAGGGGTTCTCTGGTGGTTAGGAATTCATGCTGTATGTACTGTAGACTCTGGCCTCACCCAGCTCCTGAAGCGTGCTTTCCCCCTCCAGCCCAAGTATAATTATGTTCCATGAGGGGCGGCGGTGTGGTTGGCTGCAAAACCAGGGGTAAGCAATTCTCTCAAAAACAAATCCTGAAAACAGACTGTTACTGCCTATCTGACGTCATGTTTTGTAAGGCCTCCTGTCTAGAAAACATGCAAAGCCACAGCATTCTTTACCCAGCGGCATTTCGTAGGGTTAAGAGAATGCCTTGTTAGTGTTGCTTTCTGATGGGCTCTGCCGCTTGTCTTGGAACATTCCAGCGGCAGCAGGTAAGTCTTGAGGGGTCTGGAGGGAAATGCCTACCTTTTGATTTACTGATTTATTCCTGGCTTGGTGGACCTTGAGGCATCAGAGGGAGGGGGAGCTACATCTGGAGGATGTGGCGACACGAACCAGTCACTGGAGTGGAGCGGGATGTTTGTAACCCGGGGCTGGGCTGCAAGGCCCACTGGGGTAGAAAAAAGATTTTAGAATTTTTAAATTTTTAAATCCCATACTTTTAAACTTATTTTTCAGTGATTTCTATAATGTGCATAATATATATGCAGTAGACTATGCTTAATGTTTCAATAAATAACTGATAACTAGATGATATTTATAAATATTATATAAATAATAATTATAAATTTTATATATATATATATATATAAAGGGTGCATGCTCAAAATTTTTTACTGGTAATATGCATGTTAAAAAACTAAACACAGAGACCACGGTTGTGGAGGTCTGTGAGGTAAGCGATGCTGATGTTGATGAGCACTGTAGGGTTTCCAGTTCTTTCTCCCTTGAGTTCCCCTAGCAGTCTCGCTGAAGGGAAAAGACAGAGACTGAATCAGCAAAGTCTGTGGCTGACAAACAGTTTTCCTTACCTTTCTTTGTTGGTTCAAACCTGACATGACAAGATTGCAGCCACAACACATGTTTTCCCTCGCTGGCCATCTGCAGGAGTGGGTGGCTGAGCGTGCGAGCCGAAGGAAAAATCAAAGACAACCCCATACCAGCAAGATGTTTTAAAAATTAGGATCTGTTGGATAAAAGGAACACTTTACTCAGATTGTTTACTATGGCATTCCTAAAGTCATTCCAGCCAAACTTTTAAAAAAATTTAACAGAGCAGGTAATTTAAAAACATTTTCTGGTTATTAAAACTTACTTGGCAGCATTGTTGTGAAGATCAAATGAGAACGCCCACTGCCCTGCCTGTGACGGGTGTGTAGTGAGTGTTAGTTTCATTATTATTGTTTTATGATTATTTTTAAAATTTTCATTATCATGACTCAGCACCCCACTTGGCCTAACTTTTTTGAGGTGGTTTTCCAGATTTCTGGAAGTCATTTGGGACCCTGGGAAATTTATTCTCTCTGACTCTGTCTCCAGGAGGGCCTGGTTTCACTTCCCATTTTCCCTGACCAAACATGAGCGCTTAATGCTCCTCTGATATGGAGCCTCCTTATTGAGCAGGTCCCTTGTAATGTGGCCATACTGGCCAGGTTGCTTTTCTCTCAGAAGGGGCCAGCGTAACTAGCAGGCCTGACAGGCCTTCACTATAAAAGATAATCTCTTTCATCTTGCATCCCTGCCACCTTGCACAGTGCTCAGTAAATGTTTACAGAATTGAATGGAATATTAGGAGACGCAGCAAGTTAAGTCAAAGGAATGACTCTCTAAAGGTGGGATATAAGACGTTACAGGAGGGAAAGGTGAAGTGACCTTTGGGGGTTAATAATCCTCAGACGGTACTACACGGATATCAGCCTAATCAATTTGTTGACATAAAGTCAGTCCAGCTGTCCTCTTTCATCAATACAGGAGGCTAATGGTGGGTGGGGAATGGCCCCATATGGGGGGATGCTGGTCAGGGGTATGCTGGAGGAAAACCGTAGACCTCATGGGAAATGAAAGTAGACAGCATCATTGTACATGACAAGAAGTCGGCTCCGGGTGCAGAGGTGCTCCAGCACCTGGAAGTGTACCATGGACTGAAACAACAGGCCTGAAGGGCGACTCTGGGAGCAGCACAGTGGGCCTGTGTCTTAGTCAGCTCGGGGTCTTATAACAAAATACCACATACTGGGGCTTAAACAACACACATTTATTTCTCACAGCTCTGCAGGCTGAGAAGTCTGAGATC